TAAATAATCTTAAAATTCTATTTCCATTCAAGCACATCATAACATTCTAACAATTAACTTATTATGACTGTAAAAACACTCGTTGTATTTCCCATCTAATTGCAATGGATTAATAACACTCGTACTATTATTTCTGAATGTACATTATCTCGTATTGAATTTTATTCCAATATCGAATCGATTCCACACATGTATATAAATGAAGGAAAGAAGTTGTGTGAGTAACTTGATATGATTATGAGCAATAGTTTGTGCTCGAAACTTCATCAGTTAATATAACTGTACAACACTGTGTGATTTATCAAAATAAAATCTTAACCATTATGGAGTTATACTCTACCCCAGTGCCCAAGTTTTATACTTATATCTGTATTATAAGCACTATTTTCTGAATTTATGTAAATGATTATTATTAGACTTTAATGACGTCACCTTATCCTGCTTGACCTGTTCTTCTTGCTGCAATCATGATAGTACCGTGTTTCACCGAACTCATCACACCTCATGTCAGCCATAAGTGTATACCACATGCAGGTATAACGTTTATGAGCTAGGTATGCAAATCAAAGTAAACGCTTGCACTGTACGTTGATTATTTGTAAGACTAACTAGTTTATAAGAACTACGATTTCGCCAGTTGTACAACGTTCACTATGTTTAGACAAAATCAACGTACGCTGCTTACTTCTATCAAGCGTTACCTAAAGCTACGTAGCTGCCTTGAAATAGTTTCTGCTGAAGGTAATCTCCTGTAGCTACTACTTTAGTGAGCAACTTAACGTTATCTTTGAATTACAAGGTAAAATCGGACGTCCTCAGAACTTTCTGGATAAAAAGATCGTCTCCTAGTCAAAAAAGTAAATATATCCCAATCTCCACGAAAGCGTTTAGTGGTATTTATCCTTTCATCTCAAATGACTCATTATTTGCAGTCACTTAAAAAATGAAAATAAATTTACCGAAGACGGTGTGCTTGTGATTTCTAGATATCATAATGTACCACGAGGAAAAAGCTATAACCATAGGTTTATAACAGTTAGACGCGCTAAATTAATTCAAAACACAACGACTACGATTCTCATTCACAGAACATTCTACTTTGCTGCCTAATCGTCTAATCGTATCAACAGATTTTTCGCCAAGAAAAAGAAGACCACTGGTTCAAGGAAAATTTATTTTAAGTTTTCTTAAAAACAATGTACATCCGTATTTATAGTCACGGAGAAATCACAACTTCGAGAAAACCGCCGATTGTAGACCACAACCTGAAACGTTATTCTTGTCAATTAAAGTCTTACCTTTAACTGGGATAGTTCGGACACTCACCAGATCACCATAAGTTATCCGCTTTGTAAATCGTATTGCAGCATATCGAGTGGCTGTTAAAACTGGTTTCACTACCGACAGTCCTAGTTCATGCGTTTGGATCTAGTAAATTAGGCATTAACAACCGTTGGTGGCAAAGTACAAGAATAGCGTCCCAGGAGTGCGAACGCTCGAATGACCTTGAACGCTTGTCAGTCATTGGTTGAGGAAGCATACCACTATCCTAGCGCGAAAATGAACGCTGTTCATTTGCTCAGATGCAAATTTCATCCAGATCTCGTTTTACAGTACTGCTTAGATAATGGATTGATAGGACATACTCGGATATGTAGTTGTGGTGCTTCCGTGAACCTCCAGCCGTATACACAGGTCATTGACGGATTTGTATTCAGATGTACACAGTGTAGGAAGTGAATAAGTGTGCACACTGGTAAGTTACACTTAGTTAATTGTCTTCTAGGAACTTTCTTTGAAAAGTCGAAACTGCCGTTGACCAATATCCTGTTTCTGTCCCATTACTGGGTTTTAAAGTCCGGGATGCGATCAACTACGGCTCAAACAGATAATACGTTGACGTCTACTGTGCAGTGGTTCCAGCTTTGTCGAGATTTAGCGTCTTGGAAAATGAACAGTATTACTTTGGTGATGGGAGGAGTCGGCGTATTTTTTTATTTTGATTACAGCTTGATGCCACACCGTATTTTCAGTACAAGTATGGAATTTTCAGCATGGATATCGGTAGCCTAAATTTACAGGCCGACCATAGATATCGGGTGTGCGCCGGCAGGGGATCGAACCCCGGACCATATGAATGGTCGGCGAGAGTTCTAACCACTGTGCCACCGTCGTCCATATCGATGAAACGGCTCTTATAAAGAAGAAGTACAATCGCAGACGAGCCAAAGCTATAACGTTCGGGTTCTGGGAATTCACGACAACAAGATTCGCAAAGGATTCATCAAACTGATTCTAGATAAGAGTGCTGATACACTTCTCCCCATTATTCAGAGGCTCGTTTTACCAGGCACCACCATTCACACGGATTATTAGGCAGGATATGACCGATTATCGCAATAATTAATAATATACTTCGTATAATCGTATAAGTTTGCATGAAATGCATGCCATTTTTACAGGCACGATCAATAATGTTACAAATTACAATTGTGAATTAGCATATATGATCACTTTTTCAAAAGTTCAAATTGTTGAATTATAGTACAAGCAATCGGAACAGATTCTTATAAATGTTAATTTGTAAATCTTTCACGAAGGTCACCATCGAAGTTGAGCGACAACCCAAAATTCGTTCCATTTCCTAACGAAAGTTATGGCCAATCGATAAACAATATATTTGAGTGAGTGCTATGCCCCCACGTGCTTGAACGCTATTTCAGGAAGTGAAGAAAATCTGGCCCAGCTGCAAAATGGTATCGAATGCAATTATGAATAATACATTATTGGAAGTATATTTACACGATAAATACAAGAAGAAGCTATATAGTACTTGAAATGATAATACACATTTGCAATGTATGATGCTAACCATATTGGTCTTACCATGGAAAACTATGACGTTTGGGATATATACATCATCGAGTGAACCATTAGGATGACTTCGTCTACCCCTGAACCGGTACTCATACCAATTGAATCGAAGGTTTCTGGGGAAGACTAAAAAATAGAATCAGAGCTATCAACGGGTCTGAAAACCAAGTTATTTTCAGGCATCTTGTTGAATATATGTATAGAAATTCGTTTAATTTAAAAACTGAAACCCCTCATTATAATTGGGAGATTTTTTATCTCATATTAGACAGAAATACCCTGTTTAATGTTTTTAATGCTTTTTTATGTAAATATACGTAAAATTTTATGCAAAAATCCTCATTTTTCCTGATTGGTCGGCTCAGGGCACTCGTTCGTTCGTATCCCTTGAGACTTTATTTAAGAACTTTGGCCCATTGGTAATACTTACACTCTAGACGTTTCCGAATGCCTCCAGATTTCTTTCCAAAAGTGCATACAAACATCACACATTCATACTTAACATGTGGCTCACCTTTGTGTGATCTAGATTCCCTCACAATAAATCTGATTTTTTAGCTGAAAGCTTACAACTTGTCGAAAAACTTCAAAGCTTTCTCAACTTCAAACCCGGTTCTAAATTCTCAAGGTTTAGTGGGCTCTTCGGAATATTTGCTAATATCAACTCTGATCGTATTTTCCTCACCAGATTGACTCGTAGATTGCTGCATGCTGTAAACATGAATGTGAAAGACATAAGTTTTCCAGATTTCTACATGTTAAGGAAGCAATTGAGTTAGCAACAATAACGGCAACCAACGAATGAACTGGAAACAATGGCTTCCGCCACCCAAACATGTTCATGTGCATAATTTCCAAAACTTCTACGCAGTACTAATTCATTAATAGCTGAAAAACAACTAAAACCCTTAAACCATACATAAAAACAAAAAGTATGAAACAATAACAATGAAACGAATGCACTGACCTGGTGGTAGGAACTTTCGAAACCAACGAAATAACTAATTTTAACAGCAACGGAAACAAAAATGAGGTGAAACGCAACATTTGTGAACAAGACGTATCAAGATAAGTTGTGAATAACTGCAGGATTGAAAGGCTGAAATTGTTTGTCACGTCCAGGGTCATTGATGGAGTGAGACGCTCAAAGGTCATTTTCGTCCATGTAAGTCGGCCATGTTGGATCGCAGTTCCGCAGCCGTTCGTTCACACATTAGCTTTTGCGTTCATTGGTAACAGTAAAGAATAAAGACCAGCTTCAGGCGACCTTGAAACAGCTAATCAGATTCTTCTAGGGGAAAAATGGTGCTTAATTTACAAAGAGAAGTGTATCTACGAGACATATGTAATAAAAATGAACCAAATAGGGTACATACTTTTAATATGCTGTAAAAACTGATCCCAGATTCTCACAGAAGTGGTTATAGACATATCAAACCATTGTATTCTCTATTTCTCTACTTGTAGCAGGTACTGATTGCATATGCTCAATATGTTACTTAGGGAGAGCTTTGATTTCGAGAAGAAAGTGTCTAAAAAATCACCAATAATGTATGACTTACCAACTTATACAGACTACCTTAAGCCCACAGTCCAGTTACTCAATATACACCCTGCTACTAATATAGCACAAACTCCATCCCCACACACACCAAACCTAATTAATACTGTTGAATTTACTTATGCTAACATTAAACAAATTATAAGAACCCTAAAAAGCTCAAAAGGTTTTGGTACAAACTGTATATCATCCTACTTTTGTGAATATGGTGGCCTTGACAATCACTTACTACTGCTTAAAATATTCACAATGTCCCTAGAAACCCAAACTTACCCTGATATATGGAAAACAACCCACGGGAGTGGAGTCACTGATAACCACCATAATAGGTAACCAGTTTCAAGGGAGTTTCTAACCAAAAGAGCATTGTATATGTATAAAAAACAGTGATACAACGTTAGAATAGTTAAATGTTACATTTATAGTCATCATAGTTGCTTGCAAACCACGCATAACACAACCACACAGAGCCGCACACGACAGCACCTACCTAGGACGAATCAAAAATCCAATTGACCGCCACTGTTCTAGCCAATGAAAGACGAGAAAGCCTGAAGCGCGGTAAGTTTAAAACGCGATAACGTTTATCCTCACCCGTTGGTGTTGCAGTGGTAGTGTTCGTATTGGTGTATGTGGAGTAGTGTGATTGGTGTTGCTCTGTTTTCGTTCTTTTTGTGTATTTCTAAGTATTTTAAATTTCTTTCGGTTTTATACTGGTGTTCCTCTATGGGCTGTTCTCCTGTTCTGTTTTCCTTCTTCTTACATGACTTGCCCCAATTCGAAGGAAACCAATTTTGTTAAGTATGACGATGATCTGACTGACATTTTGCATGTTACTTCTCAGCCAGACTGCTCCAAAACGAAAAATTTTTATTAGAAATTAGTCAGTGGTCGTCGTCAAATGGTCTCTAGCTTAATCCCTCCAAATGTCAGGTGGTTAATTTCACTTTCGGACGCAAGCGCGACTTACATGAACTGGTTCGCATGGTTCCACCATCATAGATGGCACTGAAGTTGAAACTAAATCGATTTTTAAGTACCTTAGACTGCATATTTCCTCTGATCTTTCCTGGTCTTCCATATCATGTTAGTTCCAAGAAAGATATTTCGTGTGACGTTATGTAAGGAAGATCTGGTACCACTCTGTTTCTACTGTTACCGTTTATCAATTCTTGTATTCTACCCATGCTTCCTTACTGTTCTGCTTTAATTTTTTCCCGGGCTGCTTAAGAAAGACTTTACTATACTGCGTAGAGCGCTAAAAGGCACTAACACGGCGAGTAGGGTGTTGCTAGACCAACCAACTACTGAAGATAGACGCTTGGATCCCTGCAAAAAATTAGCAAATATTATCCTGTGAGATTAAACATCTTCATACACGACTCCTTGCATCTCATCGGGTAGAACTAGAAGCAACTATACAAGACTGTATGCCCGGACGACTAATTACAAAAACTATGATACCTTATTTAGCACACATTTTATGTGATGATAAAAATGTAAGACGGAAATTACCAACTTACTGATGAACTCCAAGTAAACGGCATTGTTTTTGTTCTCATTATTACATTGTCGGTAATATTTTCACTTGATTTAATCTTATATCCACTTCTTATTGGACAATATTATTAGCGCAAATTATTATTAGTTAAAATGCCCTATTTTAATTATTGCCCCTGTAATGAGAAAATTAGATGCAATACTGTATTACATGCCAAAGTACTGTTTGGAATAAGGCTATTATTATTATTCCTACTATTATCATAATTCAGCACCATATGCTCTTTCTAAGCATTGTCAGAATTAGCTTAGAACCTACTGGGTTCGCTAATCAGCCTTATTTCAGCCCAGATTCATCACTGACTGGCATTGTTTTAGAATATCAATACTTAGTTCAGCGCGTATTGGTGTTATTATTATTCCTTTACTTTCCCAATTTAAAATAGGGCTTCAAGCTAGAGACTTGAAGTTTCGGTAGCAGTGTTTATTTTTATGGGATCGGGTTGCCAGCCTCACGCCCAACCTTCCCTCTTTACCAGTCTCATTATTGGCCTGGCGAGGTAAAGGAGTGTGTCGGCCTGGGATCGAATCCCGAACCCCATGTGTGATTGGCGAACATTCTACCGAACATTCGATATAATTATATCGAAAATAAAACTTCGGTGTTGGATTAAAAATCAGTGAATCGACTTCAGGGGTATTATGGATAATAATAAGTAACTCAACCATAAGCAATGCATTAAGCGTACACAAAACTATGAGCAATAGCTATTGTCAACAGTTGCACCATATCCATGAAATGCGCACCATCTCGATTCCTTATCTATTTCTTCAGTGGCGCACACTGCAGTTTCTTAGAAACTGCATATATGTGTATATAAACCCGAAGTCTAATGATATTGGAGTTTGTTCCTTTTCTCTGTACTGGCCCTCGTCCTATCACGTTGTCCAACACCATCACGCCTTTTCCGAGTTGCTAGGATCAGTGCACACGTCACCGTTGTATTTAGGGTAAATCAGCTCGTCATTGAATTACTTGTCTTCAAGTTTGGAGGATGATTGTTTGTTTTGCTTTTGGCCTAAAAGTCTTACTCAAATGACGATGGTGTAGTGAAATTCTTGTTGCCTCCCTTAACATATCGACTTCATGTGTTTAGTCCATGCTCAGAATCGTCTGACTGCACCATTTCTATTCAATTATATTCATATCTCTTATTCTCTACCTTTTTGTAGTGCTATCATTACACCACTGTACCATAAAGTTCATATTACTCATCAGAAAAGTTGTAATGCGTTTCGATGTAAACCTATATAATGTTGTGATTACTGGGTTGGCGTTTTTCTTCCTTTTTGCTGCGTTTCAAACAGCATCGTTGACTGCAGTAAGTTTTCAATCAAAATTCAATCCATCGTTTGTCTTATTGTTTGTGTAGCAAAATGCTTTAGAAGCTGTTTTTAAACAAAGTAATCATACTTTCGATGATGCGGGTTATACAAGGTTGTTGTTATTATTGTTATGTTATTTTACTGTATCTTATTTCTACAGTCTAGCAATTGTATACATTTCTTTTGGTATATTCAACTGGTTTGCACCAATTGTTGTAATATATTTAGGGAAAAAATATTCTATGATTGCTGGTTCGGTTTGTTATGCGTGAGTCAGTTATGTGTATGCGTATGTATATGATTTAATTTTTAGATTTTTCATTGCCTCTTTTATTGAACCACGTGAATGGAGTTTATATTTGTCGTCCTTGGTTAATGGAATTGGTGCAGCAGGTAGGAAAGATGTTGTGCTAAAAATGATCAAATAATTTTACTAGTTTTATGGACTGCTCAAGGTGCTTTTATTACAGACTGTTCGAATAACTTTAACTTAAATCAACATTTTAGTCTGTTTTGGGCATTATTTCAAGCAAAGTAAGCTTTTTTATGCGTGCATATTTCTGTAGTATCGTTTAACACCTTTTAATAATACCTTAGGTGTATGCATTATTTCACAAAATAACAACTTTGTCGAAACTGTAACTGCCAAGCTGAACTTGGCCTTCATCTTTTCAGTATGAAGACTTAAAGTATTACTTATTTCCTTCACAAAATTATACAACCAAATGCTCTATCGTAATAATCATCGGCCTATCAGAAAATATATCACACTGGCTGTGAAGATTCTAAGCATAGTCAATCACAATAATCGATAATTGTAAATATTTATTCTGATTCCATCAAATAATGACTCAAGAAGTAGCTATCGTAGTAGCTATTGGATAACATGTTGGAGTTTGAGATGATGGGTATGCAGCTGCCCCCAGTCAACCAGTCTAAAATAGGGTGAAATCTGCGTATTTCATCCCACCCCTGGCCACCATCGAACAAAGAACTGATTGCAGATTTTTTGAGATGCTTATCAACTTTCTTATTCATTGCTTGTTCATTTATCTTCAAATTTAGACAGGGAGATAGACATATATGACATTTTACTATTCCGTGTTAGCATTAAAAGTAGAAAATAGCTTATTTCGGTTACAATGTAATGTATGTTTTCAACTTCATCATAGACGTACTAATCGACTTAACCCTAACACACTTCAGCGACTCAGGGATTGACTTGCTACCAGGGAATAATCTCGTCAACTTAGAATATACGAACGATATAGTCCTTCTAGGCGAGGAGGCTGACAAAATGCAGAGTCTACTGAACACCTTGAGCAACAATCCTCGTATGTTTGGCATGCGATTCGCCCCTGTAAAATGTGAGATGATGCTGCAGGATTGGACTTCACCGACCCCTAGATAAGAAATAGGAAGTGAAGTGGTAGAGCACGTTGACCGCTTCACTTACTTGGGAAGTACCATCAGCCCCAACGGGTTGATCTCCGACGAAATCTCAGCACGAATACAGAGGGCTAGTTTCGCATATGCCAGTTTACGCCGTCTCTGGCGTAGACGTGATATCCGACTATCGACCAAAGGGCGTGTGTACTGCTCAACAGTCCGCTCCGTCCTCCTTTATGGCTGTGAGACCTGGCCATTGAGAGCAGAAGACATGAAAAGATTATCTGTCTTCGATCATAAATGTCTGCGTTCTATCTCCCGTGTGAAGTGGTATAATAAGGTGAGCAATATTCAGGTTAGGCGTCGAGTGCTAGGTAAGGCGGGGAAATCAATCGACGAGACTGTGAAATTACATCGACTGAGATGGTTAGGACATGTATTACGTATGCCTAGTCATCGCCTTCCTCGATGGGCAATGTTAGCTGATATAGGGCCAGGCTGGAAAAGAGCTAGCGGCGGTCAAACGAAAACATGGCACCAGTCAATGAAATCCACAACAGTTAGTCTGAGCCACGTAGGAAGATGTAGACTTCCTGGTTGGGGTACTCGGGACGGTAAAAACCGATGGTTGGAAACAATAGGTGACATGGCTCAAAATCGTTCTCAGTGGCGCAGATGCATCCACTCCTTGTAACTTATGATTTCCAATTAAACTGTTTTGTTCTCCGTTATTACTATTCCTTTGTCTCACACCTCTGTTTACTGTCTATATTATGCATTTCTTCTACTTTCTTCTCTTGCTGTGTGTGCTACATGGTGTGGCGACTTGAACTGCCGCACATATGTGCAAAGTTCTATGTCGAAAACCGACCGACCGATGTTTTAGCCAGCGAAGATGGAGCCCATTGGCTTGAGCACTTGACTTTCGGCCAGTTAGTCCAAAGTTCGAATACACCACCTACTTCAGCTTGTAAAAACGGATTAGTATCATTAGCCCTCACAAAATTGTGTAACTTATTGCTTGGCTCATGAAGAATCTGTTCATGGTACCTAAGTTTAAAGTATTACCAGTTGGTAAAGGTAAATTAAAATTTATGTTGCGATAGTTTGTGCTGTTGACAGTAGTAGGCTTGCATAGTATTAGCATGTATACGGCTTTCTCGAAATGGGCTAAAATTCTGGTTATATAAGAGAGCATTTCTCAAAGAATGAGAATCTGAAACATACCACAAGATTTTCAAGAGAAAGTTTGTAATGACGTCACTTCGTTAGCGAACCCCAAGTAGATAGTGTGGGATATGGAGCATTAACCTAGCGTGTCAATTGGCAAAGTAGTTAAGGAAATTAAATGATCAATGCTTCCTGTCTAATATATAAGTTTTACATTTTTTTGTGTAATCAGACTTTGTTATTAAAGGCGATGTGAATTATTCGTGCTTACGAGTTGGTCATTAAATACACAGTTGTCGATATTAACCAGTAATGATTGACTGGTGGGGCAACTGTCCGTGATAGTCCTGCATTGACAGACTGTTTGTTATTGATGTGGCTGGTTGTAGTGATTGAAAGTGAAATGGAAATGAGTCGCGACAAGACTCAAACCAGAGGTCTGCGAATCACTAGTCTGACGCCCTACCAGCTGATGATCTGGTTAGCGATTGGGTCTTGTAGTTTGGCTGGTAGACAGCGGGACTAGTAATTCGAAGGCCTCTGGTTCGAGTCCCACTGCAACCCTGGATTTGTATTTCACAATCAGTCGTCACAGGCTACATGAATATTATGTACTACTTATCCACATATCTGCCTATAAAATCTTTTCATTTGTTTTTCTAAATATTCTTTAGTCAAATAGTTGGTGGTTTGTATGCCTATATCTCATTATCGAATACCACCGAAATCTCCGAAACATTGCGTATACAACTGTATGGTGGATTGTTAGGATGTGCGATATTTGGAATATTATTACTTCTCTTATTGAAAAAACCAAGAAAGGTTGACTCAAGTGATATGCCATCAGATTTAGAAAGAGATAATATTGGTAGTTCGGATGAATTGACTGAAAATTATTCAAGGTGGGTGATTTCTTTATTCTACTGATATTTTACTTTATTATTTTGTTTGTTTGTTTATTTTTGCTTTTTGTATTAATCCACGTTTGTCAGTCGTTTCATGGCATGCGCATTACTAAGCTGGTTAATCATTACTACCAAATGCTGTATTTCTTTGACAGAAAGTTTTCATGACTAGTCGCATTTTCGATCAACACTTCTATACAATATCTTCTTATTACTTTTGTATTTTGAGAAACCTTGCTAGCCTCAAATATATTCTGGGAATTCCATATTCGCATTCTTACTTTTGTTTACATTGGAAGAAAACTTCAAGTGTGGTATCACATGTTCTTTAGTGGAACCCAAATGGAAATTGACAAGTTATACTTCTGAGGATGACATGAAGATTATGTGAATAAGAAATGAGTTTGTTGGCAGTCATAAAGCCTGCTGAATGTGGTAGCAGAGAACCAAATGATCTGTAAGTGCACATTTGATACTCTATATCTCACCAAAAATGCATGGAATAAATAATGATAGTAGTAATCCGAGCCAATTTTATTTAGCAAAGTTATATTTAGCAGAATTACTGCTGTCAACGAATACATTGAAAACTAGGATATGTCAAGAAAATTTTAAGTGTAATATGAATGTCTGGCAGAAGTATTAGTTGACGGCCTGATCTAGGTTTTCAGTCATTTCAGTTTGCTACTGAGACCAGAAATTCATTCGTTAGGATTTTAAAGGCACGCATATAATTAATTGAATGTCATTAGATCTACTTATTTCATGATTAACCTATGGAACAAGGAGACTCCAAAAGAAGAACCAAATAAATTTCTTTCATTCGACTCTGTATTCGCCTACTTTCAAGATATCTTGCTCTAAAAATAGTATTCAAGTTTTCCTGATGCTATTCGTTAGGAATTATTTCCGTATAACTAAATCCACTTAATTCCCTCCGTTTTTTTTGTTTTACTTTAGTTATTGATTCACTCAAATCATATTTTACATATCGATTTTCCTTTGCTAGTATTTTGGAGTTAGTCAGAGGTTAAAGTTAGTCATTTTTGTACATTTCCTTAAGTTAATAAACCAGCTGTTAAAATTGTTATTTTTGAAGAATATTTAAAGGAAATGCCACACCTTACATGTAAGTGCCAATTATCATAACTAAATCTGCAGACTAAAGGGGTTTTCTCCTTCATAATTCTCTCAGTTCACTTACAGGCGTTAGGTGGAGCAATATACCAGGCAGCGTTGAGAATAAACGAAGTATCAAATAAGGAGCATAAGTCAACAGAGGTCAAGAATCTTCATAGATCGCAGTGACTGGGTTACTTGATATATATATATATATATATATATATATATACGAAGTCATCATCTAGGCTGTACATTCGTGTATTTATATCAAATGGATGGGAAAGTTCCAGAACAATTTCTGGTTAGGGGTTGAATTAATAAAAATTACAATTAGGAATTAGAATGCCATAATAAACAGGGGGATGGGTGAAACTAAAACAAAGTAGCATAATAACTAAGAAAATTGACATTGTGCAATTGGGGTTAGAAATGTAAAAATAACAAAATATACAGGATGTTTGGATAAGAAACTAGTGTGATGAATAATTGTTTATGCAATCAGGGATTAAATATGTAGAAATAATAAAATGACAAAATAAACAGGAAGTGTGGATATGAAAATATGGTAGGGTAGACAGGGATTAAGAAAACTTAAAATAACATGAATAAACAGGAAGTTTAGTTAAGAAAGGCGATGGGATGGTCATTATTAAAAAATTTACCTGTTTACGATGGCCATGGCAGGGACAGGGGTTGAATGTATTTCTTTTGGATACAAAGGGTGGGTTTGAGTTTTTGGATAGCTAACGCCTCAGCTATGCCCAAATGTCTTGATTTCACTCCCTTTGATAGGTTTGGTTGAATCTTGTATATTACTTTGAAGGACTTTTCGAAAGGCGCTGAATGTCCTGAGTTGACCAGATGCTCTGTCACTGAACTGTTTACACGTTTTTGCTCTCCTTTTACCAGCCAGGCTGGGTAGTGTTCACGAGCGCGTTTTCCAAGTTGGCGCATGGTACGGCCGATGTACTCAGCTCCACAAGAGCAAGTGAACTGGTATATGCATGTTGAGGTGGCCCAATGCGACAGCTTGTCTTTCGCGTTCTGGTTGAACAGTTTCTTGCAGGAAAACGTCAGTCGTAGGCTTGTGGCGAAGTATGTTTTCCTCAGCGATTTGGAGAGGCGTTTGCGAAGGATTTCTGCTTCGATATCACCTTTGAATTCTAGATTGAGCAGAAGTATTTTCTTTGGGACGGATTGGACTTGTTCTGAAGTCTTCTTCGGTTTGAGATTCTTGTCTATGAACCTGGGCGGGAAACCGTTTTCCATCAGGGTTTTTTGGAGATTACGCAGTTCTTCTTCGATCACTTCCTCGCTGCATATCTTCCGAATCCTCGAGGAAAGAGCGTGTATCAGGTTCCTCTTTCTGCTTAGCGGCACGAAGCTTTGAAAGTTGATGAATTGTCCAGTCCATGTAGGCTTTTTGTATATGGACCTTTTCAAAGAGTCATTGTCATTTCTTGTCAGATGGACGTCCAGGAAGTGGAACATTCCGTCGGATTCGGTTTCAAGTGTAAAGTCGATGTTTGGGTGGGCGTTGTTGAAGATTTGGAGTAGGTTTTCAAGGTCTAGCTTCTCACCACAAATGATGAAAGTATCATCAATGTATCTCTTGTAGAGATGAAGGTCGTCGATAGTTGATGATAACGGGTTGTTTTCGAGGCTGGCCATAAAACAGTCGCCTAGGAGTGGTCCGAGTGGAGAGCCCATTGCTACGCCATCTGTTTGCTTGTAGATTTCATTGTTGAATCTGAAGTAGACGTTGAAGGTGCAGCGTAGTAACAGCTCCTTTAGATAATGCATCGGTATGCCGGCATCTATGCTGTTGCATTGGATGAAGTCACACAGAAAGCATATAGTTTCTGTCAGAGGAACATTGGTGAACAGAGAGACGACGTCTAGGGAGACCATTTTTTTATTTGCGAGGTTGACATTTTTAATTGAATCCACGAAGTCGAATGTGTCGCCGAGGTTGTATCTAGATAACTTTTCTTTCACTGGTCCAAGAATCTCTACCAGCCACTTCGCGATTAGGTGATATGGCGAATTGATCATATCTAATATTGGGCGGAGTGGGACGTCCTTCTTGTGCACTTTGGGTAGTCCATACATTCGTGGCGATGTAGAACCAGATGGGCGAAGTTTTTCATATAGTTCTGTATTGATAATCGATTCATCTTTCATTTTTTTAAATAAGTTGGTTAGCTGGAGCTCCGTCTGTTCAGTTGGATCTTTTTGAGTCGTCTGTTTTTGAAATTTGCTGTCATCAGATAGAATTGATGAGAGTTTCTTCACATAGTCTGACTTGTTAAGCAGAACAATTCCAGAACCTTTGTCTGGTCGAGTTATTATCAGGTTTTCATTTGATTTCAATTCTTTGAGTTGCTTTCGATGTTCTTTTGAAAGCATATTGCGAAGTCTAGGTTTTTTGTTGATGTAGTCGAGGCAGCAATTCAAAAGTTTCTTATCTAAACTTCCTGTTTATTCATGTTATTTTAAGTTTTCTTAATCCCTGTCTACCCTACCATATTTTCATATCCACACTTCCTGTTTATTTTGTCATTTTATTATTTCTACATATTTAATCCCTGATTGCATAAACAATTATTCATCACACTAGTTTCTTATCCAAACATCCTGTATATTTTGTTATTTTTACATTTCTAACCCCAATTGCACAATGTCAATTTTCTTAGTTATTATGCTACTTTGTTTTAGTTTCACCCATCCCCCTGTTTATTATGGCATTCTAATTCCTAATTGTAATTTTTATTAATTCAACCCCTAACCAGAAATTGTTCTGGAACTTTCCCATCCATTTGATATAAATACACGAATGTACAGCCTAGATGATGACTTCGTCGAAAAGAAAATTTTCTTCGCTGCAACCGTCTTTTTATTCCCTATGATCAAATGTGTATATTCCGTGATATATGTATATATATACGTTGGTCACTCCTTTTCTTCTAAAAACCTTGTTAGATAAGGTAGGATTACTTAAGAAAACAGGTAGAGGATGGATTATAATATGTCGTTAGTCTCAGTCATGCAAGGTGTAAATTACTTGACTATTATCCCCAAGGCGTTAATAATTAATGGTCAGGGGCACCTTTCGGGATGATTGTAAGTCGTTCATAGTAGCTCAGACATATGATTATTTCTTGTTATCAGACCTTGATTTAGGGACACTCACTACTCTTTAGATTGTCTTTCCTCCCATCCACATTTGTGTATTTTAATACCAGCACTTCTGTTTTCTTCTTTCGTCAACTTTATTTTATGCACTCTTTGCAAGTCTTCGTTTGCTCTAAGTGCAAACTATTAGTGCAAGATTTACAGAAGCCTTTACCTGCCCTCATTTTTTGTAGGTGGTCGATAAGTTGATATATCTAGGTAGTTGTGTGACTGCTGGCGGAGGCGTGACGGATGAGATTCCCAACCGTATAATGAAGGCTAGGGTGGTATACATCAACTTGAGCCACCTCTGGCGCCGTCGCGACGTTAGCCTGGCTGTCAAAGGTCGGGTATACAATGCTTCGGTGCGGGCTGCCTTGCTCTACGCCTGTGAAACCTGGCCTCTCCGACCTGAGGATGTGCGGCGACTCTGCGTGTTCGATCATCGCTGTCTCCGCAGGATTGCTTGCGTTCGATGGCATCATCGCGTGAGTAATTCTGAGGTTCGGCGGCGTGTGTTTGAACACAGTGGAGATCACCATTCATTGAGTGTCGTCATCTGGAAACACCGGCCCCGGTGGCTTGGACATGTGCTGCGAATGTCATCCCAGAGGCTTCCGTAAAGGTCTCTCTGTTCGCTATCCCTGGGACGGGATGGAAAAGGCGGAGGATTACTTAAGAAAACAGGTAGAGGATGGATT